ATTGGAAAGCTTGGTTGGAGCCTCGTGGCTGGCAAGCTAGTGCTCCTCCCCGTCACGTCTCCGTGGGTGTGACACGCTTCTCGAGTGTCCTCATGTCACAACGTCCATCAAATAAACACCCCGGGAGATCAAAGCAGCATCTGCAATGCTTTTATGCCCTTAGGAACCACATACCTTCACTTCCACCACATTCTGTTATGAAATAGACATATTCTATATGTCAACCCTAATTTAGTGTGGTAGGTAAGCTCAGAAAGGCATGAATTCTAGGAAGAGAAAATCAGGGATGATCTTGGAGGTTGGTTACCATATTCTATTTTCAAGTTCACACGCCCTTTTTCATGCAGTCTGCATACTTTTGAAGCAGATTGAGTGATCCACCCCGCCCCGCCCCAAGCAAGTTTCAGGTACTTTGCTTGTTCAGTTGTTAAGTTTCTAATTGTTTATTTTGAATCATTTTCATATCTCTGATAGGAATAACCATTCCTACAATGCTTATGACTATATTTTCCTTTAATTATTTGAACATACTTATAATGTGCTGTGCTAAGTCACTTCAGTCGTGTCTGACTCTGAGACCCCATGGACCATAGCCTGCCAGGCTCCTCTGTCCATGGGATTCTCTAGGTAAGAACACTGGAGTGGGTTGCCATTTCCTCCTCCAGGGGATCTTCCCGACCCAGGGATTGAACCCATGTCTCTTACGTCTCTTGCATTGGCAGGCAGGTTCTTTACTGCTAGCTAAAGAACCTGGGATGTATACTTACAATAGCTGTTTTAAATAATTTATCTATGAATATCAACCTGTGAGCCATCTTGGGGTTGGTTTCTATTGACCGATTTTTCTTTTGACTATGGTTTACATTTTCCTACCACTTCATGTATCTAGGCTATGTATATGTTTATGTGTGTATAATGGATTGCTAGTGATTCCTTTAAGAGATTCTGGATTCCATTATCTTTTCCCTGAAGAGACCTTTTTTTTCTTTTAACCTACAGTTACATTTGATAGAACTCATACTTCAAACCATGTCTCCCCAGTGGTGAAGAACTAATGTTTTTTTTTCTCGTTGTTCAGCCTTCTAGTTACTGCTTTATCCTTTTTGCTGGGTTCTTTAGAATCTCCGACACATACTCATAGTTCAGAGATCAGCCTAGTATTTGAGCACAGTTTACATGTAGATCTTTGGATTCTTCCATGTAAGTCTCTTCTTTCTGGAACTTCCTCCTCAATTTTTAGTCTCACTTCCAGCCAGCCCTGAATTCTGTTTTCTGACACCATAAGCTGCTAAAAGTTGTACTGCCTTCAGCACCCTCAGAGGAAAAACTGAATAAATGTTCAACTTACTCAGAAGAGTAGCTTTCTTTCATGGGTTTCATCACTTGCAGTTTTCTGATTTTGGTGGTTCATTCTGCACTTTAAGTAACTGCTTTTATACTTAGTTCCCAGATAATAATTGTCATGTGCAGGAAGGTTAGCCACACCAGCTACTCTGCCATACCAGAATGGCACCTTGTGCATTTATGTTTGAGTGACGCAGGATAGCTCATTAGTAGCTTTGGGTTCCTGATCCTGTTCAGTGATGGGCTTCACTGTAAGGTGTGGACAGAAGGCAAGTTCTTCTGTTGGGGGTGGAGTGGTAATCCTAATTGTTAATATTCACAGATCCCCTCCGCTTGGGTTGTTTAGTTTTCTCATTGAGGAATCCTCCAATTTCAGTACAGCTGGCACTGTGATAGACACAAGACTGATTTTCAGCATCCTGGGAGCCTGTTGGACTGGGAAGTCTCACTGCTTTTTATGCAGAGTTTCACAAATCCCTCTGTTTTCAGGACATTCATAGTTATATCTTGTAATCTAAGACATACTTCATTTTTTGTTCAACATTTCTAAAGATTAAATCTCTCTTTTCAAAGAGAACTGTAGGAACTGTGGGTTTTGGGTGTCAATAGCAGAAGAAGAAATGTTGGGACTAAGGGCTTCTTATTAAAAAGACGCTGAACCAATATTTTATTCTCCATTCTACTTTTAGAAAGATCTAGTACTCTGATTCCTGAGCATTTCTGGAACTCTGTGGCAAGAATTATATTTCTTCATATTGGCTTCTCCTAATTGTAAATCTGGGTTTCAGGTATATCCAGTCTTCTGAGTGAATGACTATTTGTTCCCAGATTTTAAGTTTTAGTTGATATTATTTCTCCTGTTCTTTTTGTGGATATATGGATTTGTTCCTTTTCTGTCATTTTAGATGGTATTTAATAATGAGTGATTATAAACAGCATAGATTCTATTCCTATTCTATCAAACTGTCATCTCTAATTTTTAGATAAACATAAACTGCCTTTATGAAACCAAATGCCCTCTCTTTAAACTTCAGCTGATAACACTTTTACAAAAGTCAGTTGTGAAAAGCCTAGGTGTCAAATAACTAAACCAATGTTGAATGTAAATGTCAGTTCTACTGTCACCTTTGTGCCATGAAATACTGTTTCCCTAGCTATTGTTCCTTAAAATAGCAGGGCGGAAAGGCTTACCATCTTTTTTAGTGTAATGTGCTTGCTTTCAACTTATGTTGTAAAAGAATTGCTCACAACAGACAAGTATGTGCATGAAGTGCTGCCACTCAGGCCTTGCCTCCAAGAAGTGTAAATAAAACAAACGGCTTAGCGGCCACTTCATGCCCATCCTTTCACCGGTCAGAGCAAACCAAGGGAAACTTACTTAGTAAGAACCAGAATTTATTTTCAAGAGCTCCATCAGATTGCTTTGTTTGTGAACTTCCATTTTTTAACATGAAGATTACTGAATTCGTTCTCTGAAGTTACAAGTCATGTAAGCACTTTGTATTTTACTGAACGTATTTTTGGGGGCTCCAAAATCACTGCAGATGGTGATTGCAGCCATGAAATTAAAAGATGCTTACCCTATGGAAGGAAAGTTATGACCAACCTAGACAGCATATTAAAAAGCAGAGACATTACTTTGCCAACAAAGGTCCGTCTAGTCAAGGCTATGGTTTTTCCAGTGGTCATGTATGGATGTGAGAGTTGGACTGTGAAGAAAGCTGAGTGCTGAAGAATTGATGCTTTTGAACTGTGGTGTTGGAGAAGACTCTTGAGAGTCCCTTGGACTGCAAGGAGATCCAACCAGTCCATCCTAAAGGAGATCAGTCCTGGGTGTTCATTGGAAGGACTGATATTGAAGCTGAAGCTCCAATACTTTGGCCACCTGATGCGAAGAGTTGATTCATTTGAAAAGACCCTGATGCTGGGAGGGATTGGGGGAAGGAGGAGAAGGGGATGACAGAGGATGAGATGGCTGGATGGCATCACCGACTTGATGAACAAGAGTTTGAGTAAACTCCGGGAGTTGTTGATGGACAGGGAGGCCTGGCGTGCTGCAATTCATGGGGTCGCAGAGAGTCGGACATGACTGAGCAACTGAACTGAACTGAACTGAATTTGGTATTAATTGAATTTGTGTGAATTTACATGTACTTGCTGTTCTTTAGGCCATTTGTAAACTGATCATATGCTGATCTTCATAAAATTATCTGTGAAGAATAGTTTCTGAATTTACTTTTAATTTTCAATCAAATGATGAGTCACATTCCTGTCATTAATTAGTTAGATTTTGGGGTTTTTGTTTGTTTTATTTTTGGTAGTTCACCAATATAGCACAAAAGCTCTTAAGAGTGATAAATTAATCAGTAATAGAAGAAACTATTGGACCAAGTTTACTGGTATAATCAGGAATGGAGACACTGAAAAGAGTTTAGTACATGTTGCAGGAAAGAAAAAGACTAATACGTGTGAAGTAAGATTAAATAAAGGGCCAAAGTTATTTAGCCAGAAAGATGTGATGTAATGTCTTTAGGTATACAAAGATTCATTACAGAATATAATGACTAGTTATTGTTCATCTCTGCTGAAATCTAAAAAGAAAAATGTTCAAGGGTAGAAATATTCCATGTAAATTTAACCAATACTTAGAACGATAGCCTGAAGGTTGATGGACAGGCATTAGAAGACTTGTGATGGGACAGCTCTCTTGGGAAGAGGAAAGAGCTTTAAATAGAGCAGTGTTCTCTGTCATGAATGATGCCAAGTCCCGCGTTAAGGCAGAGGGCTGGACAGCTGGCTTCCAGAGGCCCCTTCCAAATCTGGGATTCTCTGCTCACTTCTGTCGCGAGCCTTCAGAAGCTGCAGTCAGCCAGTCACAGCAGCCAAATGCCCTTTCAGGAGCTCCAGCAGTGCCGAGGAGGCAGCGCGAGCAGCAGCTGTCCCCGCCGGAGACCGTCCAGAGGGAGTCAGGTCAGCGCGTCCCTTCCTCCGCCTTCCCGGCTCTGTGCGCGGCGGCTCCGGAGGCCCGGCGGCCTTGGGCCGGACACCCCAGCCACCGACACGCCCTCTGACGGGGGCAGGCGGGATGGCTGGTGGGCTGGCGCTGGTGGAGAGCCTCGCACCGGGCGCGCTCGGGTGGCACCACCCCACCGGGTCCCCGTGACGCTGCCCTCCGGGCGCGCGGTCGCGCCCCGGCCCCCGGCCCCCGGCCCCCGGCTCCCGGCCCCGGCTCCCGCGGGAGGGCGCGGGCGGGGATGCTTCGGCCGGGGGCCTCACCCAGTCTCCCGCATCCGTACCCGCCCCGCGGGCTCCGCGCAGACGAGGGAAAGAGGAGGGGTGGGGAGGCTGGGTGCTGGAGGAGGGAGCGCGGGGCGGCGCCGCTCCCGGCCACAGCCTCCGCCCCTCCCGCGGGCGGCTCGGCTCTCCTGCACCCTCTCCCGGTCTCTCGCGCCCCCACACGCCTCCGAGCGCGGAGGGGAGCGCAGCCCACGCGGTGGGGAGCGCAGCCCGCGCGGAGAGGAGCGCAGTCGCGCGGAGGGCCCGGCGGGGGCGCGCGCTTGCAGGGCGCCGCTCGCGCCGGCGCTCGCGGGCGGGGACGCGCGGGGGCTCCTCGCTCCGGCAAACGGCGGCGGCGCGAGCGGAGTCCCGCCGCGAAGATGCTCAAAGTCACGACGCCCTCGTGCTCCGCCTCGTCCTGCTCCTCGGTAACCGCCACTGTGGCCCCGGGGCCCGGGAGCCTGGTGCCGGATTACTGGGTCGACGGCTCCAACAGGGATGCTCTGGGCGATTTCTTCGAGGTGGAGTCGGAGCTGGGACGGTACGGCGGGGCGGCTCGAGGGGCTGGGGGCGGCGGGCTGGGGCGCTCGGACCTGGAGGAGCCGGGCATTCTGGGCGCCGGCTGGGGCTTCTGCCCGCGGCGCGCTTCGGGCGCTTGCCTTTTGCGGCTCCAGCTCCCCGGAATACCGGGGCCAGCCTCCCGGCCCTTGGGTTCTGCCGGCTCCGGGAGAGATCTCGGGACCGTTCACGAGCGAGCCGGCGTCCCCGGGCGCGCCCAGGCCGGTGCAGCTGCTGGCGGCAGCCCGGGTCCTCCCCTACCGCCGCCTCGCCGGCTGCCGCCTCCGTGGGTGACAGCTTCACCGCACGTGGGCCCTGCTTGCCCAAGCGGCGTCTCTGCTCACGATTATAGCTTGCCAGAGGGTTCTGTCTGTCTAGTTATTTTTTGGGGATGAGGGGCGGAGGACGCCTCTCCAAATCTTGACAGAAATATTAGATTCGATTCTTCCTCCTTCCCCTCATCAAGCTCACCGAAGCAAGTGGCACTGGAGATTAAACTTAAACACCAGCTTCCCTGCAGAGTCTGCTCAGGAGTGAAGGGGGATGAATCATTTAAGGGAGTTGAAGGCAGAATAATGAACTAGCGTGGCTTTAAAGGAAAGGCAGTGGTAATTAGTGAGGAGAGTTCTGCTGCTCTTTGACGTGCTGGAGTGATTTGTTTAATTATGTATGCAGAAAACCATCGCCCTGGGGTTGCAGAAATGTCCCTCGTCCCTGCTTTGAAGATCCAAACAGGTAGTGGTCTTGCAATGTGAATGATACCCTATGTTCTTATATTTTTATCCACTGAAAAATACTTTCCCCTTCCTTTTTCCTCCTTTCTGTTATTCATAGGTAGGGAGACCTCTTTTCAATATTCACTTTAGAATCAGACCCTTTATTATATGGAATCTAAAGATGTAATTTCAACCGTTAACAAGTTGAAGCTTCTATACTTAACATTTCTCTGCAAATGTCCTTTTTTCTTTCTTTCTTTTTATTTTGCTGGAATAGAGTTAGCAGTCACTTTTCTTTCAGTGTCACTGGTGACTACAGAATGGGCTTCTGGATGTTGGTCCTTAGTGGGACTGTGTAAGGGCCACTTCTCTCCGAATTGCCTCTGCTGTTAATGGCTCACCAAGTGCAGAGCTGTGTAAGAAGGGCAGAACTTCTGACTGAAATTTAGCAGTTGCCAGTCTCTGAAAAGGTTTCAGAATGTCTGAGCATCGGACAATGTGTAAAATCCTGTTTTGATCAAGCTTTTCAATGTTCATCTAAAGATCTGCTGTTGCATGCATTCCCTAGTAAGGCTGAAAATAAAACATCTCCTGTAAGGTTTAAAGCATACATAATGTATGATGAGCTGCAGTGGAACCCTGTAAACTTCAGATGAAAGTGATAACCGACTTAAAGTTGGTGAGTGTCAGGAGCTGCCACACAGTAGAGGAAGCGCCTGATGGTGCAGAGACTCTCCCACCACCAGGCTGCCTGTCTTCTGAGTGACATTTACCTAGACGCCCCTCATTCGCTCCGACTTACCATCAGCACACATTAGCTGTGTGATTAAGGGTCACAAACTTAACTCAGGAAACTTCCTTTTATGTAATGAATGGGAAAATACCAATTGCACACATATACAGAATGGTAGACTTCATAGGGAAAACCTAAGGAATTTGGAGTTTGTTATGTTTTTTAAAAAAGCTTGTTGTATTTTGCAGTAATTTTGGAGCATGAATATAAATCAGTTATACATGCTCAGACTATCACTCTGCTGTCGAGTCATTTGATTGCTATAAAAATCAGAGAATTAGAATATTTTGAGAAGAGGTTAAAAATGGTTCCTTCTATCCTCTTTCTCAGTATTCAAGTATATTAGGCAAGTTCTCTGTAGATGGCAGTATTGGTGAGGTGCATACGTACTCCATTTGGTTGAGACTGAGAAATACCATCACTTCATGATCAGAATGTTTTGTTTCTTTGCATGCTTGCTTGTCTTTTTTGGCTCAGCATGAGTGCTTCTGGTTCCCTGACTGGGGATTGAACCAGCAGTGGAAAAGCAGACTCCTAACCACTGGACCACCAGGGAATTCCCAAAACTTACATTTTTCCCAACAAAATAAACCTAAAACAAACAAACAAAAAACTATGTTACAAACATAATTGCTAAGAGTCACTAAAGCCAGAGAATTCAACAGAATTATAATCGTAGGTATTGATTGAGTGATGAAAGTGTGCTTCCTTACCCCACCAGAACAAAGTTGAGGCTCAGTCAGTTGGTTTCCAGCCTTTCCTCTCTTTCCTCTTGGCCTTGGGCCAAGTCTGCCTGCCAGTGGTGACGCTAAAGCCCAAACATTTAGTTCTTAGTAACATGGCTGTCATTAAGAGTAAGACAACAATGCCCCTGGTGCTGTGTGGAGTACAGGGTGTACACAGTTCCCTCCAGGCTAGTGTGGGTTTAGTAAGAGAGTAAGCCATTGCAGTTACCTGTTGTAAGCTAGTGACTCCTGAATTCAAGACGATTGGACATATGACCATCAGGGCATCATACTTTGAGGCTGTATTTGGGGATTTCGGGGAACAAAATTCCCGTGGCTGTAACCACCTGGATTCCCTGTGTGGTGCTCACAGCACCGACCCGCATGTAAGCAGTCAGACCAGGGGAGATGTGAGAGCTTTCCTTTTTCAGATCGTGAGTAAGTCAGGAACTGAAAGGTGTTGAGAGGAATTATTTAAGAGTTTCGGGTAAGCGAATTTGTTTTTCTAAAAACCACACTTGAAAATACTGCTGTGTTTATAAAATGTGTTTAAAAGTTCACGAAAACCAAGTTCACAACAAATTCAGTTCTACTTAAGAAGATGAATTGGCCTTGGTCCCATTCAGGGCTCTATCCTAGAGAGTGCTTGGTCCTTTGCCCAGTGATTAGAGAAACTGGTGTTTTAAAGGTTTTTCCAAGGGAGAAGCGAGCTTCTCTGTGGCCGAGATCCCGTCTGTTGGTTTGGCAGACAGAGGGGCAGAACTCGGCCTGGGCTGCTCTGAGGTTCAGGCTTCAGTTATTTCTCACCTTTTGTTTCTGTCTTTGGTATGAGATTGAAAGGATATTTGTCACAGAATCAGATGTGTGTCCCCCCACCATCCCGCAGCACACACACGCAAGTTCAGAGAAGCAAATGAAAGATAATTAGGACAGAAGAATAAGAGTGTGAAAATCACATAATTAAAGTATTTTGGTGAAAGGTTTAAAAATCTACTTCTGCTTTCTTTTTGAGTAGAAATTGATTTATTTGGAACCAAAACTTTTAAAACCTTTTCATGCCAGTTCACTGTAGTTTTTTCAGGCTAATGACTTTCAGTAGCTGCTCCCCCCTTTCCTCTGACTTGGTTCACGATTTTTAAAAAACTTATATAGCAACCCCATATAACTATAATTATATAGAGTCCCTTGCTCTGTGTATCCTTGCTTAGGAACCAAACAGATTTAGATAGTGAGTCATATGTGTGTGTAAAATGGGGGGAAGTTTGATAACTTAATGTTTATTCCTATTAGCAACAATGTGCTTTGATATTTCCTATTCTATGTTGTTTGATTTTATCCTAGCTTCTTAAAAATATTGACTGAACCCATGTGATTTCACATCCCACCAGTAGGTTGTGACTCAGTTTTAAAAGGACTGTTTTAGGCCTAACTCTGTGTGTGCTGGATTAAAACAGGAGACAGTCCTTTTGAGAGGTGCCTTGCAGACCAGTTGGCGACCCTGAGTCCTGTCTGATGGCATGGCTCTGTAGAGAAACATTCCCCTGTGTTTATTTCCAGCATGATTGGGTCTTCCTTTTCAAACACTTTGGAAAAACGCTGATGTCTCTATAAGACGAGGGCGGAGTATCTCCTGGACTGACAGCGTTTCCGGAGGCTGGACCGGGAGCATCTTGACTGTGAAGCAGAGGAATCCAGAGGCCTGAGCAGGGCTGTGTTCCACTCAGCAACACAGAACTTTGGTCTCAGGCAGTGGTCAGCACGTGCTTCCTGTAAGGGAACGGCGGAGGGTGCTTCTTCTAAGAGAACGGCTCCAGCCTGTGCTCCGGGCTAGGAAGGGCTCAGACCCCCTTTTCCCTGCCCGTCCCCTTTGTCCACGCCCTTCCGGCCACTCTCCGCCGGGGCTGCGGAGTTCTCCACCTTCCCTGACACTCGCCTGTAGGCCCGCAGTGCCCGCGGGCCTCCGGCCACACCCGCTGCGCTGGCTTTCTTGAGCTCATGGGGATGCTGTGGTTTTTATTTTTTAATCTCACTAGGAATTTGAAGTGTACCTGTTCAGCCGCTCTCTTGCTCTTGGTGCACCTGATTCTTTTCTCAGGCAGTGGACTCAGGAGCGAGGGGGGGGTGCAGTGGGAGAATAGAATCTGGGGCTGCACACGCTCTTTGCACCAACACTGACCACCGGTTCCTGGAGGGCAGGGTCTGTAGATCTGGCTGGTTGACTGCTGTGTATTCGTCGCCTACCATAGTGCTCAGTACCCAGCAGGTGCTCAATAAACGATTTTGAAGAGAATGGATGAATGGTAACAAAATGGGCTGGCGCTGTGGGTCCTGATATGATCATCTCAGTTCTGGGGACCCCAAGGAAAGGATAATCTGGTGACCTGCTTATCTTCTCCCTGAAACATGTGCGACCGTGACCCTCATCTCACTCAGCATTTGGCTTTCTTTCTTGGTGGTGTGAGTGTTGGTAACTGCCACCTCTGTAACTCTTCCTGTTCAGAATCATGCTGCTTTGCTGTTGGCAGGGTGCTTTGTGACTGAACTGAGAAGGATTCAGTCTCACCGCTACCATCATTTTACCACAGGCATGTCAGAGTCAGAGTCAAACCAGCTTGAAGTCAAAAGCACGAAATATCTCCAAGCTATGCCCGCTACTAAAGTTAATACATAGTAAATGCTAAATTTAGAAATACTGTCGTAAAGAACCTTTAAGTCAAGTGAAAATTACGGTAGCGTCATTACTTTAAGA